TGTACTGGACACCTCCTCTGATCCACGCTCCTCCTTCCCTGCCCTGCCCTGGCTGCTCTGCTGGCTGCTGGGCTTGGGCTTCTGGTGGGGCCCGGCTGGGTCACAGCTCCTGTCAGCCTGCCCCTCCTCACAGCTCTCTGTCTCTGGGTTCCAGTAGCTGCTTCCTGCCCTGGCCCCTTCAGACCTGGGCAGTCACCAATGTCCCCGACTGGCCCCAGGCACTGCATTCTCCTTTGCGTTTTCCCTACACCCTGCTCACACCTTTGAAACAGCCCCTTTATTAAACTCTCCTCAAATTACCCAATTTGCATGTGCCATCTGTTTCCTGCTGGGACCCTGACTGATACACTATTTTTAATTTTTCTTTGTACCATCTCTGCCTCTACACTCACATACACACGTACGTTGACTGACACACACACACACTCGCTTACGCACACAACTGACACACACATTCACTCATGATCGCTCATAGACACACTTATACTTGCACACTCACTCACATACATTCATCCACAAACACACCCGCTCACTGGCAAACTCACACTCAGGACTCAGACATGGCATCGCCTGCTCCCAGCACTTCGGGGAATGTAGCACTCTGGTTCAATCCCCCTCTGCGAGCTGAGGGTCCACCTGTGATACAGGAGCCAGGCCCTTGCAGGAACCCTGCTGCTGGCGTGCCTGTCACCTGCTCGCCACCGAATTGGCAACTCTCACCAGTTCTTTGTTTTGAAATGCTGCACTTTGTCCACTACTAATCTGAATGAACCCACCAACAGCACACTCTCAAGGTACTTGGAAAGAGGCTTCATAAAAATACAAAGTTAAAGTGGCCCCTAGAGTCTTTAGCCATGCAGAACAGACCTAGGAGTAAAAATAAAATCTTTCTACCAAATTTCAGGTGGGGACAGATGGAATCCCTCAGGAGGTCACACAAATAAAGATTAGTTTAGATGGACAGCACTAGGTCCTTTGGGTGGGAGTTGAAGGGAGATGCATTTTGGCTCAATATGAAGTCACATTTCCAATAACTGGAGGCCATCTGATGATGGACAGGCCATCTGGTGAAGCAGCCCCTTGAATAGACCTCTAACGCTACTCTAAGATGCACCCACGGCTTTGGGCAAGTCACTTCTCCCTTTGGAGGTTCCACTTCCTCATCTATAAAATGACTGCCTCAGTCTAAGCGTCTCCAAGGGGTTTTCAACAGCTATAAATTCTCTAAATCTCTGTTTCTGCAGGCAAGGAGGTGCAAAAAGCGGGGGGGCGGGGGGAATTGGAAAGAAGCTGCAGAAGTAATTAGTGATGGAAATACAAATCTCTAGCTGCCTCTGGATGTCTGAGTTTGCAGATTAAAACAAGGCTGAATCTTGGCTGAATGATTCCATTCCCTCTGGAACACACAGCAACAGTAGGATGTTGAAAATTCTGGCCTCTGTTGGAGAGGGAGCGGCCAATGAGTTTGTTTGGGAGACAAAAGGCCAGGCTATGAATTGTGCCTCCAGCAGCTGCTAGTCTTTTAGCTTCCCTGGACCTCAGAATCTTTGTTCTCAAGTGGGGATGAGAGTAACAACCACACAGGCATGTTTTTCTGATGATGAACAAACGTGAATGTCCCTAGCCTTTCTGGTTGGGGTGGACATCATCCAAGAAAATATGTTTGCATCCAGGCTCCCACCCTTGAAACCAAGGACGAAGGAGTTAAAGTTTTCCTGGATTAGGATGAAGCTGTGCCTGTACCCACAGGTTAACGTGGGAAACAAAGTAACCAAAGTTTCTGAGCTTGCTTTGCAGAAAAGCAAGAGGACCACTGATAAGAGAGCAACTTGGGACAGCCCCTCACCTGACTAAGCATCACACAGGAGCACTGAGAAGCTACAGTGACTGATTGTAAACTTCAGATGTCACAGACTAAAAATCCACCGCATGCAACACATAGAATCCGCCCGAGTTTGCACACGCCCCCCATGAAGAAATATGAAAGACAGTCGCCCCTGTGCAGAGGACTCTTAGAACTTCAGCCCCCAGGGCCATATGCTCCCCCTCCCCAGTGTGCAACCACGTGCTTTAGAAAAATGCTTAGAACCTCACGTAGGCAAGCCAATCTGTAACCAGGAGAAAGAATAACTGGTTAGCAGAAAATTTACGTCCTCTGTCCAAACTATTCCTTCCGCTGAAGATAAGGAAGTAACTGAGGTTTTCTTAGATTCCTCAGGAATGTCTCATTCAGCAGATCTGCTACGGAGAGCCACCCAACATTCTGTGGTCATCCATCACCTGACATTTCTGAGCCCCCTCCCCAACAACGTTTGTCTTAAATAAGTCATTTCCAAATCAGTTCCCCTTTAAGATGGTTTTTTTAGGACGATGTCCACCATCTTCCAATTTGCTGGTTTATCGCTTATTAAAGTTCTTTCTCTACCACCTCCTGCTTAGCCTTTTATCTTGCAGCGAGCAGATGAAGCCCTTGTTCAGTAACACGCTTACTGGCTCTGTGATCTTGGGAAACCAACTTAACTCTGCAAGCCTTGGTTTTCTCACCTGTAAAGTGGCAAGATTGTAGCACCTCCCTTGCAGGATGAATGAGGAGCAATAAGCCAAAGCACACGAGACACTTTGCACACAGGGTGGCCCACTAATAAGGAGCTTTGTGGGGTTCTAAAGAGCAGCATACATTTTACTGTATCATAGGAACCACCCTGTGGCCTGTGCTGAACCTGGCTGAACCGAGGATTCAGAAAAGTGGCCTGTAGCCTCCCCAACCTGGGCTCTTAGCTAAGCCGTGGGTGTCTGTGTGGTGCTAGTAGCTTGAAGGCACCATGAGGGTGGTGAGTGGGCACCCAAGGGAGGTACTTGAGGGAGCTTGAGCACAGCCCTCTGCTTGGCATGGCTGTCTTACATTCCCCCATGCCAGTACTATTCCTCGGGCCCTCTGGAAACCACGAAGGTCGAACTGAGCAGCTTTTCCCCTTCATACTCTGGCTTGGAGGTCTTTGGTGAGGCGGTCAGTTACCTGGGGCCCACACCTCTCAGACAGTTTCCTTTAGGCCCCTGGGAATTACACTCGCAGGGTCCTTAGAGATCCTCTGATCTGACTCTCCAAATACAATCCATGCTTACTCAGGAGTAGGTCCATCTTGTGTCCTACTTGCCTGGGTGGGGAGGCAGGGAGTGCAACACCGCCCAATAAAACTGGAGCTGAAGGACTCCAAACCGATTCCTCTTTAAACAAAAGACATTGTTCTAAAGCTGTGTGACACCAATAGTCAGGGTCTTCATAATAGTTAGATTCTTCACAAACCCTCCAGCCAAATGAGTTATTTGGAGGGCTGAAGAATTCCCAATGGCCAGAGGGAAGTTACAGAGATGAAAACTTGCATTTTGGATCATAAGCATTTTATTAATATGTTACTATTTTAAGCCACCATACAGATATCCTTTGTATTGATCTCAGTGTGATGTACCGACTGAATAAATACGCCAATTTCTGCCGGGGAGCCAAACAGTATTTTTAACCTACTTTAAAATATGTGTTGTTTCCTATGGTTTTTTTTTTAAAGTTTGGAGTTGATTATGAAAGCATTTTCAATTTGAAAAAATTCTTCTTTCCAGAACATATACATGTATGTTTTAACTATTAAATATAAAGCTTACTGGGCGCATAATTACTTTTTGAAACTACAAATAAAGGTAAAAAAAGGTGGATAATTTTTTTTGGCTTACGTATGACATTATATTGGAAAATACCACTACAACAAAGGAAATTGGAGTAGTAATTCTTTGAACATATAGCTTAAATACGTTATTGTATGTATTTTTCTTCCTGATCATGGCCTATTTAGCCTGTTTAGTGGGTAACAGTGTGTACTTAATCAGGGCCCTGCCAGAAACATCAGGATCTTCAAAAATTAAGCAGAAAACCCCCCATACAGGTGAAGCTTTTCACACATTAGCTAACAGGATCCTCAAGACAATAAGGATACTATCACCATTTGACAGATGGGAAAGTTAGGGTGAGAGAAGGTCAAGGCTTATTCAGGGGCCTACAGCTGGTTCCAAACAGTTTATCCCCGGGGTTCTCTCTCTCTCTTTTTTTTTGGTGAGGAAGATTGGCCCTGAGCTAACATCTGTTGCCAATCTTCCTCTTTTTGTTTGAGGAAAATTGTCCCTGAACTAACATCTATGCCAATCTTCCTCTATTTTGTATGTGGGACGCCACCACAGCATGGCTTGACAAGCAGTATGTAAGTCCTTGCCCAGGATCTAAACCTGCAAACTCTGGGCTGCTAAAGTGGAGAGCATGAACTTAACCACTACACCACCAGGCTAGTTCCCCAGGGTTCTTCTTTTTCCCTTTCTTCAAAATGAGGGGTGGGGTGAGATCCCTTATATCTCAAGGCATAATTGGGAAATATAAATTGGGAATATAAATTAGATAATATTTAAAGACTGGTTCGAGTTCTTGTTCTTGCTTGGGAAGGCACTAAAGAACTATTGACCACTGTAACAGTTCTTTGTGCCTCAGATGAAATTTCCTGGTTATGGACAGAAATACAAAACTTCCATCGTGTAAAATGACACCAGCCATTGCCCTTGCTTTGCAGAGTGAGCAACCTTAGAAAATTCAGGTCCAGGAGAAGGAATGGGGCTACCTGGGAGTTACACAGCCACGTCATAGCTTCAGAGCCAGAGCTAAGATGGGCTCCAAATCACAGAACCCAGCATTGCAGGAGACCTTGGGCATGTGGTCTAACTGGCAGCCAGGAGCATGAATCCTCAGCATGGTCCCTCCCAGTGATGGGCAGCCGTTATCTCACAGGACAGTCTATCTGTCTCTGAGTGGCTCGCTGTTGGAAAGTCCTTCCTAAGTTTGAGCAGAAACCTGATGGGGGAATGTGGGACCCTTTCTTCCCAGTACATGTGTTGCTGCTGGAGATGCAGCTCTGTACCACAGCCCTTGCTGCCTTCTCCTGATGTTCCAGGAGACAGGGGATTACCTGAAATTGTAGCCTGGGGAGATGCTGCTCTTCTCAGAAACGCCGTCGAGGCGGGTGAAGGAGTACTTGGGGATGCACTGGTCCCAGGCCTTGTCCAAGTCGCACACCCAGCCAATCTTAATGCCCAGAACTCCACCCTGGAGAAAGGGGCCGCGTGTGAGCTCTCCACAGCCCTCCGCCTCCCTGTCCTCGGCCAGGGTGGGGGCTGGGGGCTGGGGAGCTTCGTGACAAACAGACAAGTGATTTCTTTCCATTCCCTAGGTGGAGGATGGAGGGAAGGAGAAAGAAAAGTGGTTTGTCACATGTTGCTTGGTGAAGAAGTACTACAGCTAGGGCTGAGGACCCTCGAGCCTCTAAATCCTGCTTTTGTTGACTTGAGGCCCTTAGCCAACACAGGACAGAGAAAGTGGCCAAAGATCCACTTTCCCATTGTGTGGGCCTTTTCAGAGACCTAAGGCCTCTGCCTGCAGCTGAGGTGGGAAGATGGGAATGGGAGACTGAGGCTTGTGGGGAAGGGTGAGGGAGACAAGACCCTCAGGGCGGGGCTGCATAAAAAGGGCTTCAGCACACAGCCAGCTGTAGGCCCGGATGCTTCCACGAGGTGGCGCTGTCTCACTCCCGCTCCTCTTCCCCAGCGCCCCGCTGCTTGCCACAGGGCCCCCAAGTCGGGGAATGAGGGAGTTCCCGGGCTGGGGTCGTGGACAGTGGCCACGTCCTCACCGTGCTGGCCAGTTTGGCAAAATCCTGCCCCGCAAACTTGACCACATCCCCCACCCGCAAGATGGGGCAGAAAGGGGACTTGTCAGGGTGGAAGCGGCATGTCTTTATGTCGGCGGCCGTCAGGTTGGGAAGCAGGTTACCCCTGGGGAGGAGAAGAGGAGAGAGGTGAAGGCCCAGGGTTAATGTGAAGACAGTCCTGCACCAATTTTTCTCTAGCCTTACCGAGCCTCAGGGCCCTCCAGGCCCAGGCACGGGGATCTGAGTCCTGATCTCTTGGACTCTCACTGCCTCCCTTGCCTCTGTCCCTGCATCTTTCTTGTTACTCCAGTCACCTATCACGTATTAGGGTTATGTGTGTTCATGTCTAATATCCCCTAGCCCAGGTCACGCCTGGTTACCCCTGGCACCTCTGTCCTGCCTGGTTTTGTGTTTGCACACCCCTGAAACCCACAGCGGAGTTGTTGAATGAAGGAGACAAGGAAGAGAGGCTGAACTCACTAAGAGGAAAGGGGCACGCACACATGGGCTTGATGTGGGGAGGAAAGAAACGGGGTGCGCCCTCGGGCCCCAACCTTTGGAGGTATTGGAGTTCCAGGCCCAGGTTTCAGTTGTCCCTCTCCTGCCCCAAACAGAGCTCCCATGTGGGTTCTGAGCCCCCAGGCAGGGCAGCTGGAAGAGAACACGGCCCCGGAGGCCAGCAGGGAGATCGGGAGTAGGAGCCCCAGGGAGGCGGGGAGATGGGGAGAAAGTGGGGAGAACCGTGGTGACGGGCATCTCCACTCCTCTGACAGGAGGTGGCAGGGTGGGCCGGGTGCCCTGCTGCTGGCTTTAGGGAAGAAGCTAGGACTCACTTTTCAAAGTTGAAGAGAGGGAAACGGATGCTGTTCTTGATGAAAATAGTGAAATTCTCAGCTTCCATCATGACAGGCCTGTGGGCGAGAACAGGAGGACTTAGCTTCTTGGGAAGAGGAAGGGGAGACAAGGGGGGACCACCTTTCCTGGTGGATGTCTCCCCACAGGCACATGGTCATGGCCTCTCTGGGTCTGAGGGTCAGAGGGACAGGAGGGTGGCTGGTGAGGTGGGCTAGAGAAGATGATATCCTGAGGCCACTTCCCCGCCCCCAGAGTGGACACTACTGGGGGTGCCCACAAGACACCCTGCAAGCTCAGAGATGCAGGGCTCCCACAGGGCAAAACTGAGCCAGGGTGAGGTCCCCTCTCCTCCTGTTTGGCTCAGGTCCTTACATTTCCACTGTGTCCACTTCGGTGGGGCACCAGCCCCGGATCTCACAGGTCCGGAGCACAGAGCTGTAGTTCACGCAGCGGCCAGTGAGGATCCCTGTGGGGGTGGAGCCACAAGTGCTGGGTGCCCACTTGGCCCTTAGCCACTCCTCTACCCCCCTCCCACAGGGACCCCAAAGGTAGAGGGAAAGACAGGCAGGGCAGGGGAGGTCGATGGTGACACATTAGCCCTGCAGAACTCTTCTCTCCCCTCTTCCCGAGCCCTAGACCAAGCCAAAGGGCGGTGACAGCTCTCCTCTCACAGGTTCCAAGCCCCGGCCACCCCAGGGTCCCTTGTCCTCTTGTTCTACAATCACAGCATGCTCCTCCTGGCCTCTGAGCCTTTGCTGCAGCTGTTCCTTCTGCCTAGAACCTCCCATCCTGCCAAGTCCTACCCATCCTTCAGGGCCCATCTCAAATCTCAGTGCCTCTAGGAAGCCACTGGGGTCACCCACCCAAAACCAATTTCCCTCCCTCCCCCAGCTCCCACAGTACCTCCTTGACAGCACTTGCCACCTCCTGGCACACCTGTCTGTCACCACCATCCCTGGACTGGGTCTGGCACACACATAGGCCAATTCCCACTCTCTCTCCTAGGTGGTGAGGGATGTGCTGCCCTCTAGGGCACGCTAACACTTTGGGGTTGTGAGGGGCGCGGACGGACGGGGCTGCACTCACCGCCACCTGGGAAGCGCTCGGGCCTGCACTGGCTGTCTGACACACAGCGGTACTTCTCCTCGCTCTGTGGGGAGACAGGTCTGCAGGTGGGTGACGGACCCTGGGTGAGCCCCTCTGCTCCCACTGCCTCCCCACAACTGGGGGCCTCTGGAGGGTACAGGTCGCAGACACGGCTCCAAGGCCGGACCTTGGGCCTCTGCTTACATGCTTGCCCCTCCCTGCCAGCCCCAGCCCCCAAACATTTTCTTCCTTGACCACTTCATCTGACCTCCCTCCCTCCCCTCACCTCTGGGCAGAATCCTTGCATCTGGTTTTCAGTAACGATCATCTTGGTGATGATGACAAAAACAGAGGTGCCCTTGGGGAGGGAGAGAAAAAGTGCAACACTGTCAATCTGTGAGGTGGGTACCATTGTTATCCCCAGTCTATAGACGAGGAAACTGAGGCTCGAGTTGAGAGATCTGGCTAAGGTCACAAGGCTAGTCAAGTACACAGGTGGGTCCAAACCAGCCTTTCCCAACCACCCTCCAGCCCCTCTTGCTCCTTCTGTGTGTTGTCCTTGATTACAGGACAAGTTGGCAGATCCCGAGGGGAGCCCAGCTTTCCCGATGCCCAGTGCTGCACTCCGATGGCAGGCCCAAGCTCCCCCACCTCCCAGCCGCTGAGGAAGGAATTCTCCGGGCCACTGATGCCAGATGCTGGTTTGGGGATCCCGTGAGCACTCTTCCTGCCCTGCCTCCTCCCCTCCAACCTGCCTAGCATCTGGGCGTCCACACTGCGCCCTGGGGTGGGGGGGACCATACCTGGGGTGGGGTCACATAATCAGACACGTCCATGACTCTGTTGGCATACTGTCCAAAGCCCTTCACCTTGGTCACCACCGAGGACTCAATGGCTGTGTCCCGTACCTGGTATGCCTTCTCGTGCAGGAAAACCCACCTGGGCAGGAAAGCAGAGATGGAGAGCAAGAAAGAAGGGTCTAGAGCCATCAGACAGAGGCTGAGAGAGGTTCCCTTCCTGATAATGTTAGGATGACATGGGGTCCCTGGCAGGTGGAGGCCTGTGCTGGAGATGGGGGGAGGGGCGGCCTGAGGGTGAGCCCTGGGTTGGCTTAGACTAGTGTTTCTCCATCTTTTCCCCTTAAGGAGCCTTTTTAGATATTTTTTTTTTTCCTAACTGTAATCCCCCCATGAAATCTGAACACTACAGTAGTCCTCGCTTATCTGCAGTTTCACTTTCCACGGTTTCAGTTACCTGCGGTCAATGGCGGTCTGGAAATATTAAATGGAAAATTCTAGAAATAAACAATTCATAAGTTTTAAATTGTACACTCACACTGTCCCACTCCCTCCTGCCCAGGGGATGTGAATCAGCCCTTTGTCCGGCGCATCCACGCTGTATATGCCTCTCAGTAGTCCTCTCGGTTATCACATCAACTGTATCCCCGTGCTGTGTTCAAGCAACCCTTATTTTACTTAATAATGGCCTCAAAGGGCCAGAGTGGTGATGCTGGCAATTCGGCTGAGCAAAAGAGAAGCTATAAAGTGCTTCCTTTAAGTGAAAAGGTGAAAGGTCTCGACTTAATAAGGAAAGGAAAAAAGATCGTGTGCTGAGGTTGCTAAGGTCTGTGGTAAGAATGAATCTTCTCTCTGTGAAATTGTGGAGAAAGCAAAAGAAATTCGTGCTAGTTTTGCTGCTGCACCTGAAGCTGCAAAAGTATGGCTAAAGTGAGTAGTAAGTGCTTGGTGAAGATGGAAAAGGCATTAAATTTGTACAATAAGATATTTTAAGAGAGAGAGAGAGAGAGACCACATTCACATAATTTTTATTACAACATATTGTTATAATTGTTCTATTTTATTAGTTATTCTTGTTAATCTCTTACTGAGCCTAATTTATAAATTAGAGTTTATCATAGGTATGTATGTATAGGAAAGAACATTGTACATATGGGGTTTTGTACTATCTGTGGCTTCAGGCATCCACTGCGGGTCTTGAAGAGTCTCCCCTGCAGATAAGGGGGCTACTGTATAGATATCTATTTATGTATTGTATGTTTACTTGTGCTTTATACATAAAAAGAGTGAGATAGTTTTATCCCTCAAGAAGCAATTTTCACTCGCCTAGTGGAGAACGCATTGTCATTCCCACTGACTGTGGAGACCACCTGTCTGGCAGGCACCCCAGAGAGAGAAGGTGTGGATCCTAGGCCTCTAACCCCATGCATCCCAGGCTTTGTTCATGGCTGTACCCTAAGTGCCTGGCACATGGTGGGTGTTCAGTAAATGAGTCACTGAAGGCACTTGGGAGCTGGACACTGGGCAGTCTCCCTCTGTGGATGGAGAGGGGAGGGAGGGCAACGGCTGAGCCTTTACCTGGCAGGTAAATGGAGTTGGGTTGGGAGGCAAGAAGGGCCTCTGATCTTATTCCTTGGCTTGTGCTGCCACCTAGTGGACATTTGCCTGTACTAGTTTCTCCTTGCAGCTTCCAGCCATCACCCCATCACGTGGATCAGGGAGAGACCCCTTCTTCCATGCCCTCCTCCCTCCCGGGACTCTCTCACCCTTCCCCTGCAGCAAGAAGGGCCTGAAGACACTTGCAGACAACTCTTCCCTCTGCATTTCTGTGAGGTGCCCGCCTTTCCATTTGAAATTACCCATCACAGCCCTCAAGGCTCAAGCCACTCTTGGCCTGGAAACCATGCTTCCAGCCTGAGGAGCAGTCCCAGTTGTTCCTGACAGGACACTGGGAGGCAGACGCTGCTACTGTCCCCATTGTACAGCTGAGCAAACCTCATCGAGTATGTTTGGAAAATGCTGTGCTCTCTCAGTTTTGAAGAAACACTGGTGACATCTCATGCATTGTAGTGCACTTTTGGAAATGCTGGGTTAGGGTTACTTTCTGCAGGCTACCCAGGGTGGTACAAGGGTGGAGAGCCCCATTAGATGGAGAGGAAGCAGATGAAGAAGAGCAGAAGGAACTGGAGATTATGTAGCGCAGAGAGGACAATGCTGGGGGGCCTAGGCAAGGACGCTGCCGAGGGCAGCACCTGGGCTGGCCCGAGGAATTTATAAGGAGAGGGTTACAACTTCAGGCCCAGGAGCTTCCTAACCCCCAGAGAGGCGTCTATGCACGGGCTGCTGTGGGAGGGAGCGAGTGTCACAAGCCCAGGAAGACTCAAGGAAAGGCCTGATGCCCACCTTCCGGCTGTGCTGAGAGGAAGCTCCTTGGACTGGATGACCTCTGTGGTTCCCTGATGTTGAGAGACGCAGAGGGGAGCAGCTCCCGGGTCATGCTGGGGTCACAGTCCCTGGTGGGATGGTCACCTGCCCAACATGTTTATGTGAACACAGGCTGGTGTTTGCAAGCTGCTCCTTATCCAGTTTTCAGGGAGAGGGTTGAGTTATCCCCACAATTGTGCTTCCCTCATGTGCTTGAATTCAGAATGCTCTCTTGAGTGGGAGAGAAAGAGTGGTGTTGCAGCCACTGCCGGCGATGGCTCCTAACCTGTCACCTGTTTTATTGTTGCTGCCTTACAGCAGGCAACATCCTGACTAATGCACCACCATTAAGAGTTATTCGCATGCTTGTAAAATGCTCTTATGAACACCGCGCCTCTATAGAAGCCTGTGGTGTGGTGGGCTTTATTTCCTAGCATTATTCTCTTCTTTTTTTGGAAGGGGAGGTGTTTCATTAAGGTCTTGCAAGGAAGGATAGCTCACATAGAAATCTCATCCATCATCTTCTGTCCTGGCAGAAGAGAAGGGAGCATCCATTACCAGAAAGGTGAAGTTATCCAAATGAGCATTATTAGCTCACAGCCTGGGGCCCTGTGGGGTGGAGGAAGTGAGGTCTAAGGCCCAGTCTCTCTGCTCCCAGCTAAGAGCAGCTGTGTCGCTGCTGGACACTTGGCCGAGTGGAAGCCACAGTCATGACACACTCTCTGGAACCTCAGTGTGCCTGGCCACAGAATGGACACATCTCTGAGTACTGATCTAATGAAATAGCTTCCTGAGGCCCCTCTCCTGTCCTTCAGTCCAGGAATATTCGCAGGTGAGAAGCAGAGTTCAGATTACTAATATCGTATAATCAACGTAGCACGCTAAGTGCTGTATGTGTTAAGGATTCATTCAATCTCTACCACAACCCAACGAGACAGCTTTGTTATTATCATTATGTTACACATGAGGACACTGCGACACAGAGTGGTGGGCTAAACTGCCAAGCTGATATGTGGGCTCCTACCCAGGCAGACTGCTCACGACCACCTCACTGGAAGGTCTCCAGCTGTGTTCTAGCTCATGGCCAGGCCTCAGCTGGCCTCCTGAACTGGATCCTGGTCCTTGTCCTGCTGGCCCTGCCTTGTCACCAGAGAGAACACAGTCTAATGTCCTAGCAGGTAGGAAAGTCTCAGGAGAAAGGGCTGAGGGCTTGGAGGAACAATTAATCAATCTCTTTCCTCCTCCTCTTCCTTCAGGCCTCCCTCTTATGCCCACTGGGGAGGAGAGGCCACATCTGAATTCTTTCTCCAAGTTAAATAACAAGTGGAAGAATTCCAGTGGCCTCACGGGGCTGAGGAAGTCATCAGGGCAGCTTGAAAAAGGGGATGCTTCATTTCCAGAACAGAGAGTTGAGTCTGTCTCTAGAGGCCAGGGCTGAGGAGATGGGGCAGGACTGAGCCTTCAATTCTTGGCATTTACTCTGCTGCTTTGACTTATTTTTTTCTTGTGTTCCTGGTTTATTATTTATAGAGCGGAAGGCGGGTGGCAGATCCTTGGCAGGTGGGATGTGCAGGAAGGAGGCCAGAGCAGCGGCCCCTTCCAGGGAGTCAGGGAGGAGGCCAGGGAGTGGGTGTGAGGAGTGTGTGTTGTGTGTGCCTGGAGGAGAGGGTCTCTCAGGAAGGCATGAGCTGGGCAGAGGGAAAGGGGGAGGCGTGATGGGGAGTCTATGAAATAATAACGGTCAACACCTATTACCGAGTCACCCATCTCAGGCAAGGCACCCGACATGTTACCTCCCCTCGCCATCACTCCCAGGGAGAAGCATTCCTACACCCATTTTCCAGATATAAGGACAGAGACTTAGAGATGTAAAATGGCCCCACCAAGCCCCACTCCCAGTTGGTGTCAGAGCGAGGCTTCTAACCAGGGGCTCCACGTTCCGTGGTCTCCCCATCGTAGGGTGTGGTGAGGGGAGAGGGGAGACAAAAATGAAAGCCATGCCTCTCTCTACACTTGTAAGATGGGGGTTCCAACAGGTATTTCCACCATATGTCACCTAGTGTGCCAGTGAGGTGCCTCTGGGTGCTACCTTGAGCTGAGAGGATGGGGTAGGGGGCCAAGAAGGTAGAATTCCTGGCCCTTCTCTTTAAACTAGAGTAGCTTTTAACTGCTTTATGTATTAAGCTCCTATGTAAGATTTGAAACGAGGCTGAACATTATGAATCAAAGGGGGTAGCTGTGTAAATGGTAAGTTTGTGGATCGGGCTTTGCCAGGGGAGGAACAAGGCAGGGAGAGCAGGGCTATGATGGGGTCAGAGGCACCTTCAGCCACCACAGATCCTTCTAATGGATGCAGCATCAAAGGGCTGGGAGGGTCCCTCACCGCTAGTTTGCAGGGAGGTAGCTTCCTCCAGCAAGGCCCTGAAAACCAAGTGCAGGCTGTGCACGGGCCAGCGCTTCTGGAGACTCGGGCCCCAGGGATCTCCTTCTACTTCCTCCTCAGGTCCCCATTGGATCTAGAAAGCAGATTGGCTCTTAGGAAGTCCAACCCATAGAGGAGACTAGGGATTACTACCTGTGCCCGGGAGAGACGTCGTGAGAAACACCAGGTAAGTCCTGGCCTCTCTGTGTCCCTGTTGGGGTGGGGGGGGAGTTGAGTAAAGGAAACCTGTGATGAGGTGGTGTCAACTACACACAAGCAGTGGAGGCTAGAGGCTAGTTTGTGTGGGGACGATTAGGTGGTGTGTTGCTGTGAGTGCATAAGAGGAATGGTTGGCTCATATCACATGTGGCCTAGGTAAGGTTGCGCATCTGGTCTACCCAGCAGGGCTAATATGGAAGAGATTGAAGTGTTACTTTAGCGTTAACATCACATTAAAGCATTAAAAATCCTTTCAAATTCTATGGAGTCCAAGCTTCCAACATCTCTTTCCATGTGACTGCTCTGCCTCTTCACTGGTTTTCTCGTATCTACTCCTACCCACTCCAAACCCTTGGCGTATCAGCCTGAGCGATCTTCCCAACTCAGATCTCATCATGTCTGCCTTTCTCTCAATCACACAGGCACACACATATACACACACAGGTTATGGTGCTTCAGTAGCTTCCCATCCATTACTCTTCTCCAAAAACAAAAGATGTGAGGTATCAGAGGTGGGGCCTCTGTCTGTGATCCCATCCCCAACTTACACCACCCTCGCCTTTGCTCCCTCTGCTCTAGCCATAAAGACCTTCTCTTCTCCCCATTCGCCATGCTCTTTCCCTTTGCAGAGCTGGGTTTCTCTGCCTTCAACCCTCTTCCTTTCTTGCTTTCCCCTGGGTTGCTCCTTCAGATTAGCTTGGATGTCACATCTTCAGAAAACCTTCTCTGAATTCCCCAACCAGGTCAACTATCTCCATACCAGCAGCTCTCCTAGCACCGTGCACCTCTTCTTCGAACCCTGAGCTGCAGTTGAAATTTTACATTTGTTTCTGGAGATTATTTGATTAATGTCCATCTCTTGCATTGTAAGCTTCATGAGGATGAGGACCCTGTCTGCTTTTGCCCACTGTTCTATCCTCAGAGCATAATGCCTACCACAAAGAGACACTCAATACATTTTTGCTCAGTTAATGACAATGGATTCATGAAGTCCTAATGGTGCATGGGCTGCTGTGCACAGAGATTGGGTTCAGGCCTGAGAGTTGGGCTGCAGAATGCACTGATATAACTGGAAGGAGTTGCTCCATGGGGAGCTGTCAGGCTGGGAGATGGATGGGATTGGATATCAAGACGCCAAAGAGCCTCTCCAGCAGGCTGGGATCCAGCACTGAGGGTCGGAGCATCAGATTGGATCATGATGAGGGAGAGACACAGGCAGCGGGGGAGCTGAGTGGACTGGTCCAGGAGCTGGCTACCTACCCTCCATCAATCTTCTGACTGGAGCCAATGGAGCTGGGCCAGGCTAGGAATGTGCTGAGGCAGCTTTTGCACTCACCTAGACCAACATATCACCTTGTGGCTATAAATAATCACAGCATCGCATGTACATGTGAACATGGAATCTTTAAGCACCGACTTCAACCCAGGCTCTGGAGATGTGGACACGGAACATTTCCAAACATTGTATCTCACAAAACCTCAAAGTTGGAAGGGAACTTCAAGGTCATTTAATCCTACCCTAAAGCTTGAATCCCTTCTCTAATATCCCCACTAGGAGCGTAGATGTATACTCTCGTCTACAACATCCACATAAATGAAGCCTACTGGCTCTAACTAAGCAAGAGGAGCGAAAAACCCCTTAATCCACATCTACCCACCTTTCCACACACACCATCACATGCTACTCCGACCTTCAGTAAGCGGCCCACTCACACCCAGCTCCAGCCCACATGCACACAGATGTCTCCTTTCACTTGCTTGAATTAACCCATGACAGTTGTCAGTGGCTTGCTGTCTTACACACACAGACCCATTGTCTCAAAGAACAGCATCACATTAGAGACCGGTACGCCAGGAAAGAAAGCCTTCAAGGTTTCTGCCTGTATTTCCTGGTGCCCACCAGTGTGTGCGAATGACCACAAGAAGGACAGAACCTGTGTTTTTCCCCCGGCCATTGTCTGCTCTGTGGTCCTTTGTTACTGGCTCTTAAGCAACTCCCAGGATGGGTTATATGGTGCAGAGTCAGGTAGAAGTAGGGCATTTATGCTTTCTGACAAAGGGGAGAGCATTTCTGGATTCTTGCGGAGGAAAAGCCACATTTTTCTCCTCAGCAACTCTTCCCTTGAGTGTTTTCTGTGTCTCTGTTTCTCCACACCTCCCCCTACTCCAAAGAGACAGATCTCCCCGCTTTGTCCTTCCCTCCAGGAGCAAAGGCTTCTCCCCTTTCCATGTCCTCTCACCATCTCTCCATGCCAGAAGGGGAAGTGCTTCTAATTCTGCTTCTAATGCTAAAGTAGATCCACTTCTCTCCTTCTCACCCTGCCACCAACCTAATCAACCTGTCACCACCTGCCTGGTTTCAGTGCCTCTCCTTTCTCTTCCCTGTGTTCTCACATCTGTTTGAGACCCCAAAGAGTTGACTGAGGGGAATGAGAAGATGTGTATGTGTGTGGTCTGTCCATTCTCTGGTTGGGGGGAGATGAGAGTAGGGAGAGGGGAGATGGTCACCTGAGACCTCTCCTGGTGGAGGGTAGTGCAGGGGCAGGGACTCCCATTCTTGTAGTATGTGCCTGAAGACCACCCTCCAACTCCAGAGGATTTGCTGGGGGAAAAAACTCACCTGGGCACCAGATCGCTAGTAGGGGTGGCAGAGGCCAGTCCTTGGGACATGGCTCCACATAAGAGGCTTTCCCCCATGAGAGGATAAGCTTAGGAAGCTGGACAGCAACACTGAGGGGATTGGGGGACAGCACATCAGGCAGCCCTCCCTCCTAGGACCTGGAGAGCCACAGACTCACCCCACAAAATAGGAGATGATCAGAAGCTGAACTGCTCGGTTGATGATTCCAATGGTCCAGCTCTTCACAACCACTGACTTGGTGGTCTCGTAGGTGAAGAAATCTGAAATGCAGTTCATGTTGACAGAGTGATCAGGGACCACTCAGAAAAGACCCAGTGGTGGCCTCAGGAGGGAGAGATCCTCTGGGCGGGGAGACAGAGACCACCGCCTGGAGGGGACAGCTTAGAGGGGCTGGAGGAATAGGGAGCCTGCTCCTTTAAGTCAGGCAACCCTAGCCCAGTGCCCAGGCTCTCTGCTCTTGACACTCTAGGCTGCCAAGAGCCCAAGGCCAGGGCGGGGGACCCCCTTTTTGTTCGTCTCCACCCCACTCCCCTGTGATGTCACGGCAGGGGTGGGGTCTCCAATTCCAGGCTCCTGATTGCCTGGGATGCAGCTGGCTAGGGCCCTCTGGGACTCATGTTTTATCTGCACTCTGTCTACCGTTTCTGTTCCGTTCTGTTATGCCGCATCTTCATCTCAGCTCACCAGCTGCTTCATTCTTTCCTTAAAGCCCCTCGCAATGCCCCATCCCCCAGCCACTTAAGAGCCTGCCTGAGCTGAGTACCCCCTTCATTCCTGAGATCTTCCTAAAGCCACTCAATCCTGCAGCCAGTTCCTCCCTTCCCTAGTTGCCTCCAATAGCAGAGGTCAGGGGGAGGGGTCTCTGGAACACTTCTCTTGGTCTCCGGGCAGGGTATGAGTAAACAGTCACATAGTTCATATTTCCTACTCAAGATGGCAGTGGCTAAAGCTCTACCTGTAGCATAGCATTATCACATTGGGTTTTGTTTTACTGTCAGTTCACTTATCTGAATCATTTGTTAGATTACATGCTCCTGGAAGGCTGGGGCTGTTTCTGTCTTATTTACTAGTTTCCTCAAATCCCGTACCTGTGTTGGAGCTCACTACACATTTATTGAATCCAGTTGAATTTATGTTGCTAGGTAGTGCTGGAGCAGCCATGAGTTCAGGGAGCAGCAGTGTATTCCCGTCCTCTCTTTACCCAGGATTGAGTTAGCAAGCTTTTCTAACTGTTTTAAGTCAGACTGTCAGAGAAATCTTGAGTTTAAATATTCTATCCTAATGTCGTTATGCAGGACACATATCCATCATTCTGAATGTAGAGTCACTGTGATTGTGATAGAAGAGAACTGGACCGGGGTAAAGGGATTTGGGTTCCAGCCTCCATCTTTGTTGCTAACTCCCTGAGACCAGTTTTCCCATGTGCAAAGGAAGTTGTAGTAGACAAATTCAAGCATCTCTTCAAGGTCTGGCTTCCTTTGATTTTGCAAGATGCGCCCTACGACTATATAAGGGGGGCCTGGCTTCTGCAATCCGAGACTGATGTGGTTTCAAATCAGTTCCAGCTCCACGGTGAAACTGACACCAGACTTGAACTTGATACTGCTTTTGCCAGCCTCTTCCAGGCCACCCATACATTGCAGTTACGGATGTGAAATTTGGGGGGTATAGACAGTGAACTCATTTCAAAAAGGAGCCAATCCCATGTGCCAGGGAGAACGGTACAGCCACAAAGACACTAAAATCCGCATGCTCTTGGCAGCCAGTAGGAGGGGCCATTTCTCCCCACAACTCTTTAAATACTTTTCTTCTTGTCCCCCAGCCTCCCTCTACTCCACTGAAACCACTACTATGCAGGAGAGAGGGACACACATACACACGCATCTGTGCAAAGTCTGAAAAATAAAACTCCACAAGCTCTCTCTAGAACCTAGTTCTCCACTGAGGAAGTGTCTGTAATTTTTACACTCCTATGCGCCCCCAGGTTCTAGTCGGACTCCGTCACTTTCGTCGCAGGCCGGCTTCCCTCAGGTCCTCCAGCGCCGCAGCCGCTCTATGTGACTACGTCTTTGGCGGGCCGGTCTCGGGTCTCTCTAACCAGCTCGTCCTCTCTATGGTCTGTGCACGGCTTCCGGTGGCAGGACGCGGGGCCGCGCACGCGGGAAAAGCTTCCCCAGCGTCCCCCCATCCCCCGTGTCCCCGCCCCCCTCCCCCGCATCCCCCAGCGCGCCCACCGCCCGCACCCGGGGCGTCGCGAGGCTGCAGCTTGAGAAGGTGGGTGGTCGCCGTCCCCGTGCCCCAGGAGGGCTCGGGCCCTGCTCCCCCGCGGGACGCTCCAGATGGATCAGTCCGCGCTCGAATCCACGGCAGCGGGCGAATCCATTTTAGGGGGAGGGGGGAGCCGTGGGTCTGGGGCCGCGTCGCGGTAGGGGCACTGGGAGGGAAACTGCGCGCTGAGTTGGGTTGGGGCGCGGGCGAGCTGCAGGCTCCGGCAGGCCCTGGGGTTCCGCTGCTCGTTGCCATGGCGCCCGGTGGAGCTCCCAGAGCGGGTGTCTGGTTGGCGTGTAAGCGCTACTCCAGGCCCTGTTCTCCAGCCAGGGCTGGGCCTGGCCCCACGAGCTCTAGAGAGCCGGCCCACAGGCTTCCAAGCAGAGGAGATCTTGAGAATTTCCAGGCGCAGCCAAGGGGTGCCACCTGGCTCCATCCTGAGCAAAGGGAGGTATTATCTTTCATGCTTCTCCATCTCCCTCTTGAATTCAGATTCCCAACCTCCTAAGAGTCTGCATACCCATCCAGGCAGGAGTTGGGGCCCACCTCCCAGTTGAGGACAACAGGAGCAGGTCAGCATGGCAGAAACACTGGAGTTCAACGACATCTATCAGGAGGTGAAAGGCTCCATGGTAAGAAGGGCTTGGCCTTTTAGTACAGGGGGCAGAGGGAAGGGGAGTAGACTTTTTGGCCGTTAACAAGAGCTGGCCTTGGTAATGTTGCTTCTTTAGAAAAGGAGTATATTGTGTACCTAGTGTTCCCTAAAGACAATATCGAGAGAGAGTACGAGAGTTAAGGAACCTTACATGCTGCTCAGTCCTGAATCCTGAAACTCAGGACCTGCAAGGGGTTTTGATGCCAGAGCCACGATTAGAATCCAGACTTCCTCACTACTTGTCTGTCCTTAGCACTTCAGCTGTTGCTCCTGCACTGATATCTGGGCAGCCCAGGAGGGGTGCTGGGTGGGAATGTACCTGGTATGCACTGCGCACCATCCCTGTGCATTTGGACCTGTTTTTTTCCCAACAGAATGATGGTCGGCTGAGGTTGAGCCGCCAGGGCATCATCTTCAAGAATAGTAAGACGGGCAAAGTGGACAATATCCAGGCTGGGGAGTTGACGGAAGGCATCTGGCGCCGTGTAGCTCTGGGCCATGGACTTAAACTGCTCACAAAAAATGGCCATGTCTACAAGTATGACGGCTTCCGAGAATCGGTGAGATGTCCTGTTGCCACAAATCCTCTTTTTACCGGGCCATCTTCTTTATATTTAATCTTCTAGAGAGAACTGAGGCTCCTTCCTTTGATAACGTTGTACTTGCTAGTTTGGGCTCCTTAGAGCAGAGCCATTGAGTCCATTAAGCAGTGGTCAGCTTTGGGTGTCAGTCTCCACAGTTTCTTTGTGCCTTGACTCCAGAATATTTTATGCTGTTTTGATTTCTTTGGTGGTTTCTGCTCATTGCCTTTATCTAGGTTCAGAGTCTTAGCAGGATGCTTTAGTTTGGGTTTTGTTTTTCCATTTTGAGCTGCTTGAGTTAAAGACTTCACTTCCTCTTAACTTCCACTTTCATTAGAGCAGTACCTACACAAAACCAGACGCTCATAACCAGGAATGTCAGTTTCTTACTTTCCTCCTCTCCCAGCCTGAGATCCAGTCCCCAGAACCAACCTCTTTAACAGCCTTTTAAATAATTCTATAGCTGAGATTCTAAGTCAGCATGGATTTCTGATAAAAGGTATATTAGGGCAGTTTCTCAGAAATAGCCAATCCCAGAATGTTCAAGTGTGTATTGAGGCTTTACTGGGATTGCTCTCTCTGTTCCACGTACAGGAGTTTGAGAAACTCTCTGATTTCTTCAAAACTCACTATCGCCTTGAACTGATGGAGAAGGACCTATGTGTGAAGGGCTGGAACTGGGGGACGGTGAAGTTTGGTGGTGAGTCCTGGGAAAGATTGAGGTCTGGGGGAGAAAACAGGGTGAAAGGTTTCAGCTTTTAGCTTGTTTTGTTCTCCTCTGCCAACTATCTCTGATTTCCTATCAGTCTGTAATTCATCGTGTATTTCTTGAGGACCAACGGTGTATCAGGCACTGTGCATGGTCTTGAGGGTATAGTTTGCACAAAACAGCCCCGGTGCCCTATCCTCAGGGAACCTATGGTCCACGGGTGGGGGATGTTGTTTACACAGACCCAAGGGAAGGAGCTTGTGGCTTGAAAAGCCCTTTCCCCACAGGGCAGCTGCTCTCCTTTGACATTGGCGACCAGCCGGTCTTCGAGATACCCCTCAGCAATGTGTCCCAGTGCACCACAGGGAAGAATGAGGTGACACTGGAATTCCACCAGAACGATGATGCAGAGGTCTCTCTCATGGAGGTGCGCTTCTACGTGCCTCCCACCCAGGAGGATGGCGTGGACCCTGTTGAGGTGAGGCCTCCCTGGTCGCCTTGGGAGGAGATGGTGCCACGTGGGCCCTGGCTGGTCCAGGAGCAAGATCCCGCTACTCCATGACCACTGTGTGCCTTTGCAGGCCTTTGCCCAGAATGTGCTGTCTAAGGCGGATGTGATCCAGGCCACTGGAGATGCCATCTGCATCTTCCGGGAGCTGCAGTGTCTGACTCCTCGAGGCCGTTATGACATTCGGATCTATCCCACCTTTCTGCACCTACACGGCAAGACCTTTGACTACAAGATACCATACACCACGGTACTGCGTCTCTTTTTGCTGCCCCACAAGGACCAGCGCCAGATGTTCTTTGTGGTAAGCAGAAACCATGGGGGTGGGTTGTCCTGGTTTTTGCCTGAGTCTTTAGTAAACAGATCTCAGTGGTGTTTAGTTAGTCAGCAAGTTCTTATGGAGGATCGACTGGTGCTAAACCCTGTTGGCTTTTGCTTACCAGATCAGCCTGGATCCTCCCATCAAGCAGGGCCAAACCCGTTACCACTTCCTGATCCTCCTCTTCTCCAAGGATGAGGACATCTCCTTGACTCTCAACATGAATGAGTGAGTGTCTCCTTGGACTCTGTCCTGCTGCTGTCCAGGCAGGGGACAGGTGTGCTATTAAAAGACAGCAGTGCTCATGACCTTGTCTTCGTCTCTTTGTAGGGAAGAGGTAGAGAAGCGCTTTGAGGGGCGTCTCACCAAGAACATGTCGGGATCCCTGTACGAGATGGTCAGCCGGGTCATGAAAGCGCT